TTTCCCCCCTTAACATGGGATGAGTGCAACTCACTCAGTATTGCCTGTAGTTTTTTGAGCATGTGATAAGTGTGTTGCATTCACTAGTTCAATCTCGTGAAATGCATTCACATTTTTAAATACACATCTCACTCAACTCTGCCTGCATTTTTGCACAGGCGATGAGTATTTGGTAAGCATGTCCTCCATTTTTTGAGCATGTGAAGAGTGCATCTCACCCAGTATTGTTGGTGTTTCTTGGCATGGGAAGAGTGCCTCTCACTCAGCATTGCTCACGCTGTTTCACAAGTGAAGAGTGCCTCTCACTTAGCATTGCCTACATTTTTCACCATAAGAAGAGTGCATCTGTCGCCACAGTTTCTGAACTGGCCAAGAGTGCCTCTCACTCAACAACGCTCACATTTTGAACATGTGAAGAGTGCAACCCACTCAGCAATGCCTACATTTTTGAGCATAAGATAAGTGCATACACAGTGACCAGATGTCCTAACTGCAAAGGAGGACAAGGCACCGCAAAAAAGTAGGACAGTCAAGAAAAATGTAGGACAGGACCAAATGAAAGCCAAAAATGCATGTTTTTAGTCATGCTCAAAATGGAGGACATTTTGGAATTTCTCCTGGTCAGATGGCTGAAATGTCGGACATGTCCCAGAAAAGGAGGCCATCTGGTCACCCAGAGTGCATCTCACTCAGGATTGCCTACAGTTTTGAGCCTAAGATGAGTGAATCTCACATGGGATTGTTTGCACTTTTGAGCATAAGGCAAGTGCATCTCACACAGCATTGCTTACATTTTTGTGTATAAGACAAGTCCATCTCACTGAGTATTGCCTACATTTTAGAACACAAGATCAGTCCATCTTGCTTAGTATTGTCTACATTTTTGAGCATAAGATAAGCGCATCTCGCTCAGGATGGCCTGCATAACATTCAGTTGTTGTTGTTGTTGTTGTGTGCCTTCGAGTCATTTCTGACCTATGGAGATGCTAAAATGAACCTATCACAAGGTTTTCTTGGCAAGTATTTCAGAAGGGTTTTGCCATTGCCATCTGCTGAGGCTGAGAGAGTGTGACTTGCCCAAGGTCACCCAGTGGGTTTACATAGCCAAGCTGGGGTTCAAACCCTGTCTCCAGAGCCACAATCCAATGCTCAAATTATTACATTTACAAAACCACTACAGTACAATGCTCAAACCACAACAAACCCTGGATATCTATCTATCTATCTATCTATCTATCTATCTATCTATCTAT